CTCCAGCCAAACTCCTTGTAAGGAAAGCTGCCACGCCGCGGGGCCGGACACGCTGTCCCGGCCACCCCGAGGACAGTCCCCCCGGCAGAGCACACGCCGGCACCCTGAGCTCCCCCAGCTTCGGGCAGGGACCCCCGGGCCCGAGACCTGCCGTCCCTCGGCTTGGTGGCCAACTCGCCAAGTCCCGGCACCTTGTTGAGCCCTCAGCTCCTCGCCGTGTCCCCAGCGAGCCCAAGCCTGGTCCCTCTGTCGTGGCTGAGGCCGGAGCTCTCATCACACCTCCGGCCGGCAGGAGCGGCACCCGGAGCCACTGCCCGGCTCCTTCGGATGCAGTTAAGCACAGACACCTTCTGCTGCCGGTAGAGGCTTTCGAGGGAGAGAAATACCCTTTTCCCACACAAAAGACTTGGTCCCAAGAGGAAAAGGGAGCCCGGGGAGCACTCACCAATCCATCAGCCGGCACCCAGTGGCTCTGAGCCCGAGTAGGTGGCGGAGGCTGAAGTCAGCGTTGTCATGGTGATCACAGCCATTTGGGATAGGGCTCAGTGCCCGGGACCACAGGATGGGTCCCTGGGCCGGCCCCGAGGGACTGCGGGGGGAGCCACAGCCGAGGCTGGGGGGCGAAGGCTGCTCCGGGGCCATGCGGGGCTGCTGAACCCTTGGGAATATTGCCCGTTAATACAGGCAGGGTATTTTTAAACCTTCCCAAAATAGTCTGGGATTGTGGAAGTCCCTGCAAGCCCCAGGGATGGGGAGGATGAGGATCACAGGGATAATTCCCCTATGGGAAGCAGAGCCCCTCTGAGGACCCTTTACCCCAGACCCCCTTTGATCATAGGTCTAGGGTGCTTAAAAGAATGGTATTTTAAGCTGAGTGTCCATGAGGATCAATGACAGTGATGCAAGTGCAAAACTCTCCCATTCTCCCCTAAACTCAGATTTCTGGGGGAACCTGCTTCAGCCATGACATTGAGGCAACAGCTTTGCCATCATGCACTGCCTGGAAAGTTCCCAGCTGCTGGGATGAGTGGGTTAAGGAGGGAGCAAAAAATAGACCTTCAACAGGATGAGCTGCTCAGGTTAAATTATTCATCAAAACAAAACATCAGATGCAAATTAATTATGGGTAGTGATGGAGAGATCCAGGAAGGAGCCCCCAAGTGAGCCCTGTTGACAGCCTTCCTTGGCACCCCACAGCGGAGCTGAAATGGGATTTCTAGCCAGAAGAAGCTGTGATTAGCACACAAACAAGTGATGTGCCACAAACAACACTTTTCCTCACTGTCAACCTCTGTCACTTCATGGGTTTATCTCTTCCCACAGCCAAGTATTTTGGGGACCTGGGCAAGCCCTGGGGCCAGAGGGGAGGTTTTTAGGTGAGAAAAGGTTGCTGCACTTCCTTTTTCTCACCATGAGATCCCCAGGTGAAGCACAGGCTGGCTTATGGCTCCTTGCAGCTGGGATGGATGTTGCAGATGCTGCTGACATGGGGAGGATCGCAGTGAAAGGTCTCTCCCTGCCCATGGCCACACTTGAGGAACAGCCCAGCCCCCTTCCCATGGCCAAGCTGGGTGGCAATGAGATTTGCTGATGTTGTTTACCTCCTTTGCCTGTAAACTCCACATTTTAAAGGAAAAAAAATAGCGTGGCCATATGCTCTTCCCAGCCATGCAAATGTGTTGCCCTCCCCAGGCTGGTAAATGTTTCTTAGGGCATTACAAGGAGGACGCCTGAGAGTGGAGACAGCAAAACCTAGTTTCTCCTGAGTGTCTGGGCATAGCCCATGGGATGATCCAGGCACCTCTGCCGTGTCCAGTGCTGGCTGGTGACGCTGGAACCCTGCCTGAGTTTGGGTGGGCAGCTGAGCCTGGCGGATGCCTTTGAAGGGCCCCGATCACGAGCTCAGCTATCTTTAGCCCAAGGTATTTATATTACAAGGCCACTGGGCAGTGCAGCAAAGGCATCAAAGGGTAGAGAAGGCCAGTGGGGGCTGTGCTGGGGCACAGAGGGGCATCGGGTGCTCCCCCACCCCTGAGAGCTGCTGAGGCCCTGGGTGAGGATGACCCCAGAGGAGGAAGGTTCCCAGGCAGGGCCCCCGGAGCGGGTGCGTATCCGGGTGGAGGAGCAGTCATTCTCAGTGGAGAAGACCTTGCTGGTGGAGAGCAGTGAGTACTTCCGTGCCCTCTTCCGCTCGGGCATGAGGGAGAGCACACAGGAGGAGATCGGGCTGGGGGAGCTGAGTGCAGCTGGGTTCCTTGCCATGCTGCGGGTGCTGGCAGGCGAGAGGCCCATCCTTGGCAGCGAGGAGACCTTCCAGGCAGTGGAATGTGCTGCCTTCCTGCAGGTGAAGTCCTTAGCCAAGTACTTGATCCACTCCATCAACTCTGACAACTGCATCCTGCTGTACCAAGCTGCTGCCATATTTGGCCTCCTGGATCTCTTCCACTGCGCTGCACTCTACATCAGGGACAGCTATGCTGAGCTGGAGGAGTACCTGGACTGCCTCTCTGATGACCTACTGGCCTATGTGGAAGCTCTCCTACCCAGCACCTTTGTGGCAGTGGGAGCCCACACACCCACCTTTGAGTTCTTGGAGGACCTCTCCAGGACCATCTGCTACCTGGACGAGGAGACCAACACATGGAGGACCCTCTCCTGCCTTCCGCTGAGTGCCAGCACATTCCTAGCCGGCATGGCAACCATGGATAATAAGATCTACATCGTGGGTGGTGTCTACGGAGCCAACAAGCAGGTGGTAGAGAGCAGTTTCTGCTACGATGCTGATGCCAACGCCTGGAGTGAGTTCCCCAGCCCTCACCAGCTGCGCTATGATGTCAGGCTGGTGGGCCACGAGGGCTACCTCTACGCCATCGGCGGTGAGTACGAGAAGATCTCGCTCAAGTCCGTGGAGAGGTATGACCTGGCCTCCAGCACCTGGACATTCGTCTCTGACCTGCCGCAACCAAGCACGGCAGCACCCTGTGCCCAAGCCTTGGGGCAGATCTTCGTTTGCTTGTGGCAGCCACTGGACACCACTGTCATCTACGAGTACGAGACCCAGCAAGACGCGTGGCTTCCCATCACAGAGCTCAAGCGGCACCAGAGCTATGGGCACTGCATGGTGGCCCACCGTGACAACCTCTACGTCATGTGCAATGGCCCCTACGACGACTTCTTGCGTTGTGTCATCGACTGCTTCAACCTGACATCTCGGCAGTGGAGCGCCCTGCCCGGGCAGTTCATGAACAGCAAGGGAGCTCTCTTCACCGCTGTTGTCAGGGGTGACACCATCTACACCGTCAACAAGATGCTGACGCTCCTCTACTCTGTGGAAGAGGAGACCTGGAAGCAGAAGAAGGAGCGGGCAGGTTTCCCACGCAGTGGCTCCCTGCAGACCTTCCTCCTGCGGCTGCCAAGACGTGACCATGACATCGCGACGTAGCTGGTCCCCCATCCCATGTCAGGGTGCTCTCCTTGCACATGGCCTTAGCTCTGCATTCACTGCTCCCCTGGGCTCCTCTCTTCCTCCACAGAGCTGTGCTCAGGTCCAGGGATGCATCATGTTGGACCTTTGAAGTGACAGTAGACCCTGCCAGAGGGAAAGGGCAGCTGCTGTCTGCCTCTTCCTGCCCTGCATGGGCACAAAGTCCTGTCAGCCATGAGCTCACAAGCCAGATGTGTGCAGGACATTGTGGCTTCTGCAGAGGACAGATACCACAGAGAAGCAAACACGGGATTTATTTATTCTGACTGCACTATGAGGGTGTGCAGCATTCCACCTCCTCTCTTCCTTGATGGGAAATTGTTCATTACATGCCAGAATTAAAAGGAAAGCTATAGAAAAGCTACTCATTACTGTGTTCTTCATTACTTTTGGGTTTGGGGTTTTCTTCTCCTGTGCTTCTGAAGGAAAATACCTTCTAATGGGGATCTGTGTCAGGACTCGCTTCTGCCCCTGAATGCTTTTTCAGCTGCGGCTCAGTTTCAGAGCCTTACGTGGGAGTGCGGTTCCCACAGAGCCCCACACTCCCCTGGGAATTCTCTGTGGCTGCAGCAGGGTCCTGGGAGGAGGAGGGGAGATGGGAAGTGAAGGAAGGCAGCTCCTGGGTATCAGGTGCTTAATGTGCCAGGGGTTTTCTGGGACCTGGGAACCATCAATTGATCCACCCCCAGGCCCTAGCACAGACCCAGCGGAGTGGCAAGTCCTGCCTCTCACCAGAGACTTGCTTGAGCCAAGTCAGGGTCTTTTGAGGACATGGCAAAGCTTGAAACTAGAGAGAGTGCCAAAAGGGAATGAGGGGGAGGGAGCCATTACATGGTGATACCAGGCTGGCAGAGCTCCACAACCAGAGGAGCTGTTCCCATTAGATCCCACCACCTGGTGTTGAGGGTTCACAGCTCAGAGCTCCCCTTTGTCACCACAGGGACCAGGGCAGCAGCAAACCCAGACCCCAGCTCAGCTGGTTTCCCATCCATGGGGCAGGCTTTGGGCTGCCTGTGCTGTCCAGGCTGGGAAGGAGCGGAAGGGATACCAGCTGGGATGCCTCAAATACCTCCACTGCTGATCCTCGCCAAGTTCTCAGCATTTTCAAAACAGTTCCCGCATTTGAGAATAAACCCACTCAATGCAACTGCAAACCAAAACAAACCACAAAACCCCAGTTTGCACCCACAGCCAGTTGGAAAACCACTGGATGCGCCTTGTCCCCATTTGCTCTCTGCCACTGGGCCAGGCCACCACCCCGATGTCACCCGTGAGGGGACTGCTGCTGGTGGAGCTGCAGGTCTGGCGGTGGCACAGGGGAGGCAGGGGACACCGACAGACCTGTCCCAGCTCTGCACTTGGGCATTGTGAGCTGAGCGGCATTGCATTCCCCAGGTGGAATATTATAGCAACCCATCAAATCAAATCAAATCAAATCAAATCAATTGTCCCCTTCCCAGATAAAGCCAATTAACATTTCACGTTGTCTTCTCCCGAGAGCAGCACATAGGAACATGTTGCTTTAAAACAATTTTAAGTTGAACAAACAGTTTAAACATCCATTAAAATGAAGTTAAAATAATTCTGTTACTAAAATATTTATGTTGGGCTCCTGTGGCCAACCCTGGACCACAGAACTTGGCAGGCTCACTCCTTCCCTCCAGCTCCGACATCAAGTGATACAACCTCCTCCCCACCTCCACATGCTGCTTCTTGACAGTTCAGGGGTTTACAAAGGTGTTTGTCAACAAAATGCAAAAGGTTTTAAGATTTTAAGTGTAGCACTTGAGGGAAAGTGTGAGTCTTGGCAGGCAGCTGAGTATGGCAGGGACGCTCCCAAGAGCCATTTGTTGCATCCATCAATCCAGACTGTGATCAAGAAAGTAAGATAAAATAATTTTAGAGAGGGAAAAGAATACATTTCTTACCTCTGCAAGAAACGATCCAAGATCCAGGACCAAGCAAACTACTAAGGAGGGTGAGAAGCTGCTCGGTCTTTGCACAGTGAGTTGGCACAATGCTACCAGTGTGCTTTGCTTCACCAGAATTCAGCACCACTGGCTCCAGCACAGCACCCTTATCTTCCCCTTTCCATCCTCACGGTGTTTGCTCCGCCAAAGATCACAGTTTGAGGCGACGCGATCTGCCTAATCACAGTTTAACCTTTTGCAAGTCTCGTTTTAAGGTGACATCATCTTGGCAAGGGGGAATGTAAGGAAAAGTTGTCTGTAGATGGACTTGCCTTATAAGGGCTGTATCAAAAATAAAAGCTTGTATAACCAAGGGAAAGCAGGAGGAAAAACAGGGCTGGGAGTTCCAAGAAGAGCCTGTGAGCTCCCCAGGAATAACTCCCTAGGACATACAGGGTGCCACATTTTCCATTTCAATGCCATTAAAGAAGAGCAGGAATAAAGCATCCTTGGGGATGGACGGGTCAACTCCCCCAAAACCTGGATGCCAAATTTCCTTGTTGCATCCAGGCAAGAATGAAGGCAGCCATGGAGAGCTGTACCTTCCTGTTGCTGTCTGGCACCCACCTGGAGATCCAGGGAGAAGGGACATAGTGTTTTACCTTGATGGCAGCACATTGTGCTGGGAGATTGTTTGGAAGGGTACAATGGAAAATGGTACTAATACAACTATGGATTTTCTCTGCTGGGTTGTGCCAGTTGGCATCCTGACAGAAAGAGACAAACATGTTGCAGAATAATGCCCCCAAGCATCTTTACTCAAAGAAATTACATCTGTATCTAATTCACAGGAAAATGACATACTTTATGTGAAAACACTGTCCACTGTTCCACTGCCAAGCCAAGACACACATCCTGTACAGTGATCTGAATCTCCTATTCTCTGTCCTTCAGTTACATACAGAAATTCCCTTGGGCATCCAGATGTTCTTGATGCTGACACTCATGCTTCACTTCATTTGGAGCCACTGTCTTCACAGTTTAGGGAAGCATCCCCTGAATTTTCCTGATTTGGGCAGAGCATGAGGGCAGTGAGCAGTTCCCCATCTCTCTGTTTTGATTTCATGAAGTTGCCTGAGGACAAAGCTTTGCCTTCACCATTTTTCATTGCACTGGATAAACCTCATGTATTTCAGAACAAGGGCAGCTTGTTTTCTTTCTTTACCCACATGGAACTGTGTATTTTTCTCACATTTCTGGTTTAAAAGGAGAAGCTAATGTGATCAAAGTGGATTTCCATTACAATATTTAACCATGACTAAGTCAGCTGAGACTCTTCCCAAGCCAGGACCAACACATGTTCCTGCAGGAGCCTTCAGATTTTATGAAAACAATTTCTTCTGTTGATTTATATAATCTTTTAAGAATCCCCATTTGATTGTAGCTGAAAATATGACACCCATCACCCCAGGTGTAGGGAGAACATCAGTTTGGTTTGGGTTTTGCAAAAATCTAAGCCGAAGGCGGTTTGGATCTCCTTTCATCTAATGTGAACAGCTGAGATGATCAAGGGTGGGGATGTGTGGGTGAGGAGATAAACATTCCTGCTATGCAGTCAATGCCTGAATGACAAACACTCTTATGATGCATGTCCATAAAATGAGACACCAAGGCAGAGATGTGAAGTTGTGTGTCTGGTGCTTCCAGGGGTGGGGATGGAGCAGCAGAATAACCTGAGTCCTTCTGGTTTGGTGTGGAGAGAGGAAGCTGTGACTGCTCCAGATTGCTGCTCAGTGGGTTTTCATCACAAGCTCTTCCAGTGCCCTCTCTCTCTGATTCCCACAAAGCAAAAGAACTTCTTTGATTTCATTTTGCTGGAAGCCCATATCATTAAACTGAGCCAACAGATGCAAGAATTCAGCTGCCTGGAGGAAGAAGGAGGAGAGAAGAATGATGTTATCATGGATGGATATATCATGTGGTTGAAGCAAAAGCAGTGCTGTGGGACAAGGCTGCAGCCAGAAGATCTGGCTGGGTTGTATTGCTGTGACAGCAGATCAAGGGCACACATGTCCCTGGTAGCATTAAAACTTCTTAAATAAGAAATATTTAATAAAGTCAGCTTCCAGCTCTACTGTTCTTTATAATGTTTTTATCAATTCCATGCAGTGTTTGCCTGTATGAAGAGAGCAGGGAATGGCAGTGAGCACAGCTGGAATTTGTCCTGCTCCCCTGCTTTGCTCAGACTGGGTCCCAGCAGCACAACATCACCCAGAGATGTGTCCTTAATAAATAAATAAACCCTTCCCTGACACCGAGACCCAGGTGCCCTCCCACTGCCACTGCTCTAAGGAGTGATGACATGGCAATCCTACAGGCATTGGCATCCTGGCAAACACTGCCAGCCTGGATTTCATGCAGTTCTCCCCAGGCTCTTCATTACCACCAGGAGGAGACTGATGATGGAGACAAATGGCCAGTTCTCCATGGTTCTCCTCCCGGGGGGTAGAAGGGAGACCTAGCAGGGCAGGAGAGAGCATGAGTGCTGGTGGGCTTGGGATGGGATTCCCTGTGCAGGGGCTGAGTGAGCATCGTGCCACACAAGAGGGTGAGAAGAAAGGCAGAGAAGGTGTCCTCCCCCAGGGGTTCTTATACTGACAGTACCCTACAGGTCTGGCCCTCCATGAGGCAGCAGGAAGGCCTGTGGAGACAGAGGGAAGAGTGCAGCCCACTGAAAAAGAGCCTGGAGGACACAGCACAAAGGGCTGGGCTGTGTCATCCCATTCAGACCTTTTTCTCTGAGTACTGGAACATCTCCATGGCTTCCTCCACCTGCCCTTCCTCATAGCCCTGCTTCAGCAGCCGATCACAAGCACCCAGGTAGCTCAGGAACTGCAGAGGAAGACAGAAAGGTTAATCCAGCCTTGCAGGCATGGGCAGCAAGGCCAGTCAGGAGCCCCCTTGCCACCTCCCAGGGACACAGCATGGGGGGTGCATGAGCCACCACCATCTTGCCAGTTCCCATCTAATGCTCAGCCAGGGTGGTCTGTCTGCAGGATTCCCAGTGGGAGACAACATCTTGGTCCCCCTTCACCCTCCCAGGATGGGAATGGGAACAAGGAGCTAACCAAACGTGAACATCTGAGATGCAGAGATGGCCTCCAGGCTGCAGGGTGAGGCAGAGCCTGTCCCGGTGGGATGACTTCGCTCAGCTGACCCCGCATCCCTTTGATGCGCTGGGGTTCAGGCACTTGTGGATTTGCTCCAGGGTCCAAGTGCAAACCTCCCTCAGGGGAGACCTGTGTGCTGTCATTACTGAAAGTAAACAGTTATTTTTGGCTTTCCTTGTTGTTCTTGGAGTGCTGACAGCACAATTCCCAGCAGCATCTTTTAAAAACCGCGAGAATCACTCACTGTCCAAAAACATATGGGACAGGCAATAATAAATGAGCTATACAATAGCAGGGGGAATAAAAACATCCCACAGGTCTCTCCAAAGCTTCTTCATCCAAGGAGAAGCTGATTAATTTCTCCCCAGATTCAACAGCACACAGACCTCCACCCTCCCCAGCACTGCCATAGACAAGGAGAAGGACTCAGTGAAAGACCATAAAACATATGAAAAAGACAAGAAAGTCTCTCAAACATTGAGCTGATCTATTTTGGCTGAACAGTTGAGTAGGGATTTTCAGAAATGTCAGCCTTAAGAAGGCCAGTAACTCAGAAAGGAGACAGTCACTGGTCATTGGCATTCCTCACCTCACATTATTTCCCTTGTTACCAGACAACCCCAGATCATTGCTGTATTTTCTTCCCCTGCTGTGGCAGAACAGCCACTCACCCACAGCATAACACAGATAGTCCTGGCAGCCTGGTCAAGCCCAGCATGAAACATGAAATCAGTGCCTTTGTTAACTCAATGTTTTCTATCACTAAATATATATATATATCTCCTCAAGATTAAACCAGAACAATTTTTTTAACACTGACCAGCTGCAGCCTTTGTCATGTCTCAGCTCATATGTACACTGAGGGCTCCATGGATCAACAATGCATTTTGACCAATGCATGATCACTGATCAAAATGCAATGGTGCCTTTTTGGCCATGACATCCTACATGATGAACCTCTGGCACACTGGGGCAACTAATCCTGCTTGAGCCTTTCAGAGAAGTTCTTCCACCAAAATTAGGAAAGCATTGCTTCTAAAGAAGGCTACAGAAGGCCTTGCCTTTTCTGTTAGGGTGAGTTCTGCCAGATTAACTTAACACTGCAAGGAAGTTGAACAATTTTTGGCTACCATCTGGTACTTCCATCAGTCCTCACAGTTGAAGTAGTCATTCCCACACATCGAAGCCGCAGGTATCACCAGCAAGCAATAAAGAGCACAGGTCTTCTTTTTAACTTCATCTGGAACATATTTTCCAGGAAGATTTAGACTAATTTGGTAGTTTGGTACTCGTAAAAGATGCATGAAGGGTCACGCTTTATCTTGGCTGCATTGGGCATAAATGGGAAAGATGGGAAGTTCTGGTGAAGAAGGCATGGGATAGAAGGCAGATCTTGTCTTTTGGTGCAGTAATCCCTTCTCCAAGGGAATGGGAGTCGTGGTGTTTATACAGAAGGGAGCAGGCTGTACCCACCTCCACCCTTAATAAGATGCACTGTTATTTCATTTTGAAGCCAGCAGTTGCTGCAAGACACCCTCGCATGGCTCTGTGAAACAACATGGGCTGGCCTCTGCCCATCTCTCTGTGTCTAGATGAAACCTCTATGGATTGAAGACATAAAGCTTCCCTTGCCACCTCAGCTCGCCTGAAACTCCAGCGAGCTCTGGGGAGCTGGTCCAGCCAGGGTGAGTAAGGAGGGGGCCGGAAGCTGCAGGATGACTCAGCCACAGAGCAGCTCTGTGCACTGCTGGCCCAGGCAGCAGAGGCAGCTCCCAGGGGAATGGGAAGGAGACTGGCAGCTGGCAGCAGCTGCTCGGTGCTCTGCCTGATCTGCCTGATCTGCTCCTGCTCCCTGGCTTGACCGTCCCATGGATATCCCTCTTGCTCAGCCGTGATTAAGAGCCTTCTGTCTCTGCAAGAACTACTTGGATAATTTAGCCCTAAAGTCCTCTGCTGGGATGGGCAGGTCCACCCCAAAATCTGCCAAGGGCGTCAGAGCCAGCAGCCTCCCTCATGTCATGGATGCTCTGAGCTCACCTGGACCTTTCTGACGTTCATCTGAAACATTGGGAATGAAGATGCAGCACAGCAGGCAGGGATGTACTCATATCCCAGGGGTAGGAAGAGGCTGCATGTTAAGTATTTTCAATAAATTTCAGGTTATTATAGAGGGTTCCTCAGGAAAAGAGCTCTGGGACTCTGCTGCAATGTTTGCATGGATTCCCTGCTTGCTCCAACACAGGGAAGTTGTGTTTTGGAGAGAGCCCAAACAAATCTCCAAGGTATTCCTAGAGTCCCAGTCTGACAGGATGAGCCATGGCAATAATCACACAAATCCAACAGCTGGGAAAAATGATGTGCAAAAAGTTTCCATATAAGGGGGCAAAATTTGTACCTCAAAAGAACACAATGCTTCACACAACAGATTGAACAGATAACAAAGCCAGCCGTGATTATGCGCTGAAAAG